ATCCAACAAAAGTTGTTCGTGGAAGAAGCACATCGAAGCAAATGATCGCGTTTTTTTTTTGTATAACCGGTCATGTGGCCACAGTACCTTTAGTGGAACGTAGGACGGTCAATTCTGAATGGTACACCACCATCTGTTTGCCGAAAGTTTTCGAAGAAATAAAGAAAACAAACAAGCGCCGGCGAATCATTCTTCATCATGACAATGCAAGCTCTCACAAATCAGCTGAAACAATGGACTATTTGTTTGTTTATTTGTAATCTCAATGAGCTGTTGAGCTCGCATAGAGTTTATAATACATATTTTGTTTTATATACAATATTTATGGTATTATTTACAATTTTACTAAGTTAATGTTAAGGTTATAAAAATTAAATTCAAGAAAAAACAAAGAAAAAGCTAAAATTTGACTATATACAAAAAAATGTAAGCTGCAATGCAATTAATAAGATAAGAAATATTAAAATATACTATAGTACAAAGAATTTATGAAATGAAAAAAAATTAATAAGCAAAATATTCTAAAATCAATTATACAAAATACAGAATTGAATATAAAATAAAAGTTATAAGTTGTGGTTATACCTCTCTAAATAAATTTCTTTAATTTTCTTTCTAAATCTGGCTTTTGGCATATTTTTCAAGTGCATAGATAAATTGTTATACAGCATTATACCTGATACCGCAATTGGTGTGAGGCCATTTAAGCCACGACTAGTTATACATCTCAGTTCATTTGCTGCTCTAGTGCCGTAATTATGTATATCACTGTTAGCTATAAGTGTGGTGTTTGATTTAATCTGGCTATTTTTAATATTATGAATATGACATAGTTGGTTCATTTCTTTATAATCCGGCAATTTTAGGATGTTGTATTTCTTGTGTATTTCATTAGTTGATGTTCTGTATGGTAAGCAAAAAAGATTTTTTATTGCCTTATTTTGGATTCTTTGTAAAGTATTTATATTTTTTAAAAACGTGTTACCCCAAATACCAATAGCATAAGTTAAAACGCTATGAAAAAGACTATAGTATATTGATATTTTGATATTATGTGGCACACGCTCACCTAATTTTTTAAACAAGCCGGCAATTTTTCTCGTTTTACTAATAGTTTCATTAACATGTTGATTCCAATTTAAATCTTGATCGACAGTAACACCCAGATATCTGTACTCTTTGACTTTATTTATTTTATTTCCGTTGAACTTGATGTTAATTTCGGAGCATTTAGAGTTAATTAGCATGTATTTAGTTTTGCTCACATTTACCGATAATTTATGCACACACATCCAATTATAAATAGCTTCCATATCTTGATTAATATTTTTTTGCATATTATCGAAAGTTCTTTCTTTATAAATTACAACGATATCATCTGCATATATTATCGGTTTACCGAGTAGTTTAATTTTAGAAAAGTCATTAATGTAATAAGCAAATAAAGCTGGTCCCAAGGAACTACCTTGAATGACACCATAATCAATAAAATTGATATTACTTTTTACAGTATCACACTCAGCATATTGTTTTCTATATTCCAAGTAACTTTTAAACCAAAAGTATTCTTTGCCTCTAACACCACATTCAAATAATTTCCGCAACATAATCTTACGATCCACAGAATCAAATGCTTTACTCAAATCGAAGAAAACCAAACCGACCTTCTCATTTTTACATACAAGGCTTTGTACATAACTTACTACATCAAATAATGCAGTATTAGTATTTGATTGTTTAGTGAAACCATACTGTATTTCAGATAATAGATTGTTGTTATATAAATATTCTGTAAATTGTTTATTTATGTATGTCTCAATTAATTTACTAAATACCGATGCAATAGAAATTGGTCTAAAATTATTAACATTACTTTTATCACCAATTCGCTTATATACTGGTATAACTTTATTAATTTTTAATTCATCAGGAACACAGCATTCTTTTATAGAACAATTAATTAAATTGGTGATGGACTTTGCTAATTCTCCACTGCATTGTTTTATAATTATTGAATTTATATCATCTATACCTGCACTATTTGTAGAAGAGAGTTTATTAATTAAATTTATTGTTTCTCTTTCATTAATTTCTGCAAAGTGAAGTCTGGTATTAGTAATTGTTTGTGGAACATATGTAGAATTAAACTTTGCAGCCATTACTTTACCTATATTACAATATGTGTCATTAAACTCATTAATTTTGTTCTTTTTCTCAGTTAAAGAGACAGTGTTTGTAAAAAATTCATTAGTTTTTTTATGACTATCTGTGAGAATTTCATTAACTAAATTCCATGTTTTTTTTGGATTATTTTAACTTTTTTGAAAATTATGTGTGTCATATTGTTTACGTTTTTTTCTTTTTAGAGCAGTGAATTTATTGAGCCAAAAGTGACATTTTTCTTTAAAGTAAGTATTATTTGAATCTAGACTATATTTGTGATACCAATAATTTCTAATTTTTATTAAGCGAATACATTCACTGTCTATCCACGGTTTGCTATATTTTAAATTTTTATTAATTTTTTTTTCAAATGTAGTAGATTCGAGACAGTTGTTCAAATTTCCAACAATTTGTTTATAAGCTACAGCGGTAGCACTTGTTAAATTGTCAAAATTACAATTAGCCAGCTGATTCCTCAAAGCAACAAAATTTGTTTTTCTTTTCACATATGTAATTTCTTTAGAGTTGTTTGTAAAATTATTTTATCAATTTCTAATAGTAAAGCATTATGATCAGTAAAATTGGTTCTTAAATGTGTAATAATTATTTTATTTTTTAGATTGTTTTTGAGAATGTGGTCAATGCAGGTTCCAGAGCTGGGTCTTGTCACAGAATCATCACAAAAGAAGAATTCATTGGTCTCCACAATAGTTTTATATTCAGAAGTGTTTTTATCTTGTGAATCATGTAAATTAAAATTGAAGTCTCCTATAACTATTGAATCTTTATTTAAGTAATTTAATTGTGAATCTAACAGTGTGAAGAATTTATCAACAAAATTCTTATTGTTATTTGGAGGTCTGTAAATTGCAGAGATATTCAGGCTTTTGTTGTTTGTTATAATTTTTACTGAAACTATACTATTGTAGTCATCACAAAAAGTATCAAGAATTTCATACTTTATTGAATTATGAATAAACAGACCAACTCCACCTCCTCTTCTATTCTCGCGACAAGAAAAAACTTTATTATAACCTATTAATTGAATCAGGTCAATTTCATCTTGAAGAATCCAAGTTTCTGTGAAAAGAATCAAATGAACCGTCTGACTTAAGCTATCCAATAGGAAAGCTATTTCGTGCATTTTGAATTTGAGACTGCGTATGTTGAGATATAAGATTTTTAATGAGCACTTTTTTTCAAATATCATATCTTGTATTTTGGTAATTGTATTTACATGAACATTTAAAGGTAAAGTATCGTAATCTATACTATCATTAATTAGCATTACTCTTGGGTAAATTATTTATGGAAAAAATACGAATTATTTTTGACCTGTCATTTTCCCTTACGAATACTTTACCATGTTTAACCCAAGCATATTTTACCGCACCTGATCTTTTTAGATCTCTCGCCCTTTTATGTAACAACCCAAAATAAGGTGTTAGACGTTCATTAATAAATATAATGTCCGTATTGGCGTAATTACTTTCGGGTAAAATTTTGCTTGTTTTAAGTACTTTGTTCTTTCTTGCCTCAATAATTTTACTTTTCATTTCAATATTTCGGAGTTCTACTATAAGTTTGGCTGGCTCACCTGAATTTTTTGATGTTCTCCTTCCTACATATGCTTCTTTTATTTCATCAGCTATAATATTAACTCCCAATTCCTGGATAACTTTGACAGTAGTTTCAACAGGATTCATAACTTCTTTAATCCCAGATATTTCAAGATATTTTCTGTATCTTTTCTGCTTAAGCAGCTCGATTTCAACTTGGTTATGCTCAAGCTGGCACCCAATATTTGGGTATAATTATATTTGAGCACTCAAAATGTCGAATTGATGGGTCATCCGCCGTACAGTCCTGATTTAGCACCCAATGACTTCTTCTTATTCCCTCACATCAAAAAAAAAATGCGTGGACAACGATTTTCAACACCTGAAGAAGCAGTCGATGCGTTCAAAAACCATGTTTTGGAGGTGTCTCAATCGGAGTGGAAAAAGTGCTACGAAAATTGGTTTCAGCGCATGCAAAAGGGTATTGATCTTCATGGGGAATATTTTGAAAAACAATAAAACCATTTCCAATGATAAATGTTTGTTTTTTATTGCTAGACCCGAAATATAAATAGTGACCCTCGTATATGTATATTACGCGTGTCTTTTGGAAGAAATAAAGTAAACTTAAAATATCTCAGCTACAGAATGGAACACAATTTCAAAACTACAGAAATAATTCTTGCAAGGCTTGCAATGCAAGCACACACGACTAGTTAGTATAATAATAACATAATTTATAATTTAAATTTAAATATTCCATCATAGTACTCATGGAATTCTCAGAATATTCAAATTATGCATGATTCAAATTATTTATTTTAAATCAGTCAGTACAGTACAGATTATTTTTTTGTAAATATATGTAGTAGCTGAATGGAAAGTTTGTTTTTAATTCTCAGAATTTAGGTGAGTTTAACTTTCTCAAAATAAAAATTATTATATATAAAGCGAACAGCTTTTTTCAAAAATGAAAATTATCAACAACTCAGCTCGAAATCACTTGAATGATGAAAGGTTGAAAAGCTCTTTACGTGTTGCAGTTTCTCATACACCCGCAAATATTTCTAAACTTGTCGACAAGAAGCAGTGTCAAATTTCTCATTAAAACTTTTAATACTTATTTTTATTTTTTCTTATTATAATTTTTCAATCACTATTCTTATAATAATATATTTAAGTTTAAGAAAATAATTATAATACCTAATATACATTCAATCAAAATTTAAAAATAACTACAAAATGCCTTGAATACTTATTACTAAAATTAAACTTGCTTATTACTAGAAAATAAATCTGCTATAATTGCGGCCCGGGAACGATTGCTTTTTCTCATTTAGCCCAATTCGAAAAAAGGTTGCTCATCACTGATATAGAAAATCCTAATCTAATGACATACAACGCGCCATCTCTATTAAAGTGCGATTTGCTCGCTTAGCTATACGATTCTGCTGAGAAGTATAGGGTACTGAAAGTTCTCGTTTAATTCCATTTTGTTCTAAGTATTCACTAAACTGTTTTGACAAATATTCGCGTCCGTTATCAGTTCTTAGGCATTTTATTTTTCTCCCGGTTTCTCGTTCTACATACGTTGGATTTCTTTTAAACGCTTCAAAAACATCGCTTTTATTTTTTAAAAAGCCTACGTGAACAAATCTTGACTTGCTGTCTATAAAAGTTACAAAATATTGTGTGCCCCAATACATTTGGTACTTAGCGGACCATAAACTTAATTTGGTACTTAACGGACCATTCTGGTGTACCCCAGGGTAGTCACTTAGGTCCATTGCTGCTCATTATTTCAATTAATAATGTTGTTTCCATGCTAACGCACAGTGAGGTATTAATATATGCTGATGATATGAAAATTTTTAAAAAAATAAGCTCTACAAATCAGGCGTTGTGTCTTAGAATGATCTTAACAGCTTCTACGGCTGGTGCTCAAGTAACAACCTAAAAATCAATGTAAGTAAATGTGCACAAATGTGGTACTCTAGGCAAAAACGGCCATTTTTTACAAACTATACTTTGAATGACCAAGCGCTTAGTCGAGTTGATTCAATAATGGACCTGGGTGTTTGCTTCGATAGCAAGTTATCATTTATAAACCACTATAATCATATCATATGCAGATCAAGCTTGATGTTAGGATTCATTAAACGCTGGTCAAAGGAGTGCTGATCTTAAAATCACTTTACACAGGCCTGGTCCGTCCCCATCTTGAATATGCTTCACAAGTATGGTCACCCTATTACGATATACATATTAATAGAATTGAGTCTATTCAAAAAAATTTTTTGAGGTTTGCACTGCGCCTTCTTTCTTGGGAAAACCCCATCATTCTTCCACCTTACGAGGACAGACTCAAATTAATTGACCTACCCAAACTATCATTGAAATCGATTTTGAAGCCCAACTTGTAAATAATTCTTTTCTTTACACATATGAGCAGTTGCACCGCTGTCTAAATAACATTGATGTGAATTCGAATAAATTTGATTATTTTTAGCACACAATACAGTAATCATTACAGCGTTTGTTTTTGTCGTATCATCATTCTTTCAATCTTGTTTTTTTTTTTTTGATAGCAATCACTTGATTTGTGTACTCGTTTGCCGCAAAAATAAGATGTTCCTGAAAAACGATTGGTTTGAATATTATATTTGAAATTATTATTATTGCTATTTTCAGAATACTGACTCTTAAAGTCTCTTTTAAAATTACCTTTTGTTGCATTTTTGGATAAGAAAATATTTTGCTTAAAGTTACGTATCTTTTACATTAACAGAATTTTGTCTCCTATTTTCTTCCTCTAATAATTTAATTTTCAACACATTTGGTTCAGGAAGTAAGTTCATCTCTGTTTTCCATCGCAACAATAAAGTTTTCAAAATCATCCGGTAATGAATTTAATAACATAATTGAAACTAAATCTTTTGGTAATATAACGCCAAATAAATTCAAGAAATGTGCTATGTGCTCTGTCATACTTTGATCCTAATTTTTCTTCAAATAAATAATTACCGACCGTATTGTGTAAACAATAGGTAGTTTATGTGATGGCAACAAATTTTGCATATCGAGTTTTCGGTGGGAACGTACTTCTCCATAGTAGGAAAGTGTAAATAAACTATTTTTAGCAACCTGTCGGTCTGTCGGTTTGTCGGTCTGTCGGTCTGTATGTGAACGCGTGTATCTCAAGTTCTGCTGAACCGATTTTGATGAAATTTTATATGTAAGTTTATTTCCACCATGGCACGGATTGATCAACTTTTTTTATATATCAGGCCTCGGGAACTGCACTTTTTAGCGGGCCTGTTTTACATTTTTGAACATTTTGAAGAAAATATTCAACCGATTTACTTGAAATTTTATATATAATTTCAGCTCGACCGTCCGCAAAAACTTCTATGTTTTGGAAGAAATCAGGCATCGGCAACTAGACGTTTACTACGGGACAAATATACATTTTTGTGTATTTAAAGGGAAATAATCAACCGATTTCAGTGAAATTTAGTATTTGAATTCCTCGTATTAAAACAGTGAACATGTAAATTTTCTGGAAAGATCAGAGCTCAAAAACTGATCTGCGGGCCGATTTTACATTTTTCACCATATCTACAGAACGAATTGATGGAATTTCTTGAAATTTGATATTTGAGTTCTACTTGTTACCGAAACTAACTAGCTAGCATTTCAGGGAATTCGGGTAGCACAAAGCGAAACTCTACTAAGAGCCAAATTTACATTTTTCTAGGTATGTTAACTATAAGCTTACTAATGTCCTAAAAATTGGAAAGAAGTATTTAACAGACAGTCAGAATATTATCTGTAACACTTTCATTTAACTAGACAATACACAATGCGGTCGGTTATGTGCTGACCACATCAGATTTTTTTTATATATCATCACCTTCTTTGCAGGTCCACCGGAAATATACAATTTTGCCAGAATATTCCATGCTTCATTCGAAGTTGTAGTCCTTTTTGGCATGTTGCAGTTGATTCTCTTTTAATGAAAGTAACATCAATGCTAAAGCCTTTGCGTCTTTTGATTTCCATAATTTTCTTCAGCAGTAGGACACTTAATATCTCCATTTACATATTCCTATAGATCGTTAAATACAAGTACACTCCTGGTTTGTAACCTCCACGATTCATAATTATCATTATTCAACTTCTCCACACAATTACTTGTAATATTCATTTTGATTATATTCAATTTAACCTTTAAGAAAAAACATGAGTCTGGGCCCATAACCTGTTAAAGTTATAGAATAGCAACAAACCGGTTTTAATATTTTATAATATTTTATTAATAATACAACTGCTACCTTCAAAGGATGATAAGAGAATGAATAAAAAGAACAATAAGAAATAATTCTCAATTAATAAAAGACAGAAAGTACCTGTCGTTCACATGTTGTTTTATGTTTACATAATTCAGATAATTCACAATCAATAAATCAATTCAAACATAAGTAAATTAATTTTAAATATAATATGAAAGTGAATTGCCAATATAAACTTGTACATTTCAAACATACCTAAATCTTCAACAGTTTATTATTAATTTTCTATTATTTTTAATTTATTATTTATTATTTTTTTATTAATTATTTATTATTTATAATTAATAATTTATTATTTATTATTTATTATTTATTACTTATTATTTATTATTTATTATTTATTATTTATTATTTATTACTTATTATTTATTATTTATTATTTATTATTTATTATTTATTATTTATTATTTATTATTTATTATTTATTATTTATTATTTATTATTTATTATTTATTATTTATTATTTATTATTTATTATTTATTATTTATTATTTATTATTTATTATTTATTATTTATTATTTATTATTTATTATTTATTATTTATTATTTATTATTTATTATTTATTATTTATTATTTATTATTTATTATTTATTATTTATTATTTATTATTTATTATTTCTTATTATTGTTATTGTTATTATTTCTTATTATTATTATTGTTATTCTTATTATTGTTATTGTTATTATTTATTATTTATTATTTATTATTTATTATTTATTATTTACTATTTATTATTTATTATTTATTATTTATTATTTATTATTTATTATTTATTATTTATTATTTATTATTTATTATTTATTATTTATTATTTATTATTTATTATTTATTATTTATTATTTATTATTTATTATTTATTATTTATTATTTATTATTTATTATTTATTTTTTATTATTTATTATTTATTATTTATTTTTTATTATTTATTATTTATTATTTATTATTTATTATTTATTATTTATTATTTATTATTTATTATTTATTATTTATTATTTATTATTTATTATTTATTATTTATTATTTATTATTTATTATTTATTATTTATTATTTATTATTTATTATTTATTATTTATTATTTATTATTTATTATTTATTATTTATTATTTATTATTTATTATTTATTATTTATTATTTATTATTTATTATTTATGTTAAAAATTAATTCCTTAATTTGCTACTTGGGTATCAAAGCACTTTATCGTATGATTAAATTAACATTACTTTTAATTGTATTAATACATTATTTGATATTGTTATTGGTTTCACTTTAACATATTGTTTTATGCAGGTATATTAATAACTATGCCTATAATATTTTTTTCTAATTAAAAACCTTAACTTAAACTTGAATAATATGTTGTTAGTTCTTAAGAAGAATTGAATGAATAAAGACTAAAATTTAACAGGTTATGGGCCCAGATAAGGCCACCGCGTGGTACTCGAAATAATTGTTCTTTTTTATTGTAATAGAATTATATACTATCGGGTATTTGTTTAATAAAGCGGATTTAAATATATATAAAATAAAATGAACTCCAGTGCGAATATAGAAAAGTTAGATGACCATAACTATGAATCGTGGGCATTGCAAATGCGCAGCGTATTAATATATAATGATTTATGGAGTTATGTGAGTGGAAGTGAAATACGTCCTGTTCTAGAAAAAGGTGAAAGTTCATCTGGAAGCAATTTTCATGACATTCAAACGTGGGATAAATATGATGAAAAGGCATTGGCTTTAATTGTATTGGCATTAAAAGAAAATCAATTGCAGTATGTGAAAAAGGCAAAAACTTCGAACGAAGCTTGGGTTATGTTAGAGCAGGTTCATCGTTCAAAAGGGCCATCACGAAAAATCATGTTATACAAAAAGCTGTTTCAAATGAAAAAGAAATCAGATCAAACAATGACAGAGCTTTTAAGGGATTTTCAAAGTAGCGTGGATCAAATGGAGGAGGTTGGTGTGGAGCTTCCTTCTGAATTAATTACTATTATGTTATTAAATACCTTACCAGAAGAATATGAAAATTTTTGTATTGCGATTGAAAGTCGAGACGTGCTACCGAAATTAGACGTGCTGAAAATTAAATTAATTGACGAAGAAAATAGAAGGGAGGACTGTGCTGGTGAAAAATATGAAAGTAATCAAAATGCATTTTATTCAAATGTGCATAGAAACAAAATTTCAGGTAACAAAAATGTGTTTAGCAAAAATAATGAAGGCCAAAATAGTTCTGATAAAATAAAATTTAATGGTAACTGTTTTTACTGTAAAAAGCATGGCCATAAGAGTAGTGAATGTAAAAAGAAGAAAAATAGAAATCATTCAAAAGGAATAGCAATGAGTGCAGTTATACATGATAATACGAGCGTTACTAATACAAACGATTGGTATGTAGATAGCGGAGCGAGTGCACACATGTGCAACAACAAAAATTTATTTGTAAGTTGGACTTCATATGAACGTCGTTTGATACATATTGCCGATAACAATACAATGGAAGCTTATGGGACAGGTACAGTTGAATTTAAGGTAATGGGAAATGCTGACAAAATTATTTTACATAATGTAATTTATTCACCAAAATTACGTCATAATCTTATATCTGTTTCCAAGGCTGTCAGTTATGGTATAAAAATTATTTTTCAAGATACATATGCTACATTTAAAAATAAATATAATACTTCTGTACTAGTTGCAAATAAAATTAATAATTTATACGTTGTAGAAGCAGAAAAAATAAGTTCAATGTTTGCACATGAATCCTTAAATGATGATTTGGTTAAGTGGCATCAAAGAATGGGTCATTTAAATTTTAAAGACGTAATTAAAGTTAAAAATATGGTAAAAGGTATCGATGAAAATTTGAAATTAAATAAACTGAGATGTGTAATATGCGAAAAGGCGAAAATTTCCCAATTACCATTTAAAAATTCAAGCAAATGTGAAAGTGAATTATTGGGAATCATACATTCCGACATATGTGGTCCCTTTAGCGTACGATCATTAGGCGGAGCACGTTACTTTGCAACTTTTATCGATGAAAAATCACGTTATGTTGATGTGGCTTTCTTGAAGAGTCGAAGTGATATTTTCGAAGCATTTAAAAAGTTTCAAAAATCTGTAGAACGAAAAACTGGCAAGAAAATTAAAATTCTTCGCACAGACAATGCTCGAGAATACCTATCAAAGAATTTTAACGATTATTTAAGCAGCCAAGGAATTTCAAGACAGTTATCAGTAGAATATACACCACAACAGAATGGCATTGCTGAACGTGCAAATCGGACTTTATTAGATATGTCAAGATGTATGTTGTTGCAGTCAAATTTACCAAAAAGTCTATGGGCGGAAGCTATAAATACAGCAGCTTTTATTCGAAATCGCAGCCCTTGTAGTGCTTTACCTGGAAAAACTCCAACTGAAATGTTATTTGGTAAGGTACCTGATATTAATTTTTTAAGATCTTTTGGTTGTAGGGTGGTTGCACTGGAAAAAGGTCCGAATAAGTCAAAATTAAATGCGAAAGGTCAAATTTACATATTTGTTGGTTACTGCCCTGAAACAAAAGGTTATCGTCTGTGGGATGGTTGCAGGTCTATTATTAAAAGGCGCGATTTACGATTTTTTGAAATATTTAATCCAAATAATTACATATGTGAAGTAGATTTTAAATTAAAAAATATTTCTGAAATAAAAAAAAACCTGATAGACCCTCTGGATGTTGGTAATGACAAAAGTGAAATTCTTCAAAAAGGAACTTGTGACAAGCAAAACAATGTTAATACTGATGATGAACACGAAATAGATGAAAATATAGATGAGGAATTTTTATCCCCGAATTCTGAACCAGATATTGAAGTATTCGAAAAATTTGAATCACCGAAAAGTATAAAAAAGTTGAATTCTGTTGAAAATAGAAGAAAATGTGGCAGACCGAAAATAATAAGAACGGGCCAAAGGGGCAGGCCCCGGAAACTTTATGAAGAAGTAAACTATGCATTAGCAGATCCTTTAAATATTACATCCTTCGATAGTGTAATGAAATCTGACGATAAAGATTTATGGATTGAAGCTATGGATTCTGAACTCAATTCACTACAGAAAAATAAAACTTGGCGTATAGTTGAACGTCCTAAAAATAGAAAAATACTTGGTAATCGATGGGTTTATTGTGTGAAAAAGAATGCAGATGGCTCGCCGAAATATAAAGCGCGTCTAGTTGTCAGAGGTTGTGAGCAAATAATGGGAATTGATTATAACGAGGTATATTCACCCGTTGCAAGATATGAAACAATTCGGACCGTATTTGCATTGTGTGCTGAGCTGGAACTTTATTTGCATCAGATGGATGTGGTTACCGCTTATGTTCAAGGTGATCTTGATGATGAAATTTATATGGAGTTACCACAGATACCAAATATTCAGCGAGATGTTTCAAAAGTGTGTAGACTACAAAAACCACTATATGGACTAAAGCAAGCCGCAAGACTATGGCACAAGAAATTAAGTACCTATTTACTTTCGTTAAATATGTTGCAAACAAGTGCTGATCAATGCTTGTTTATAAAATACGATGGCAATTCTATTATTCTTATTTTGATTTATGTAGATGATTTGTTAGTAGCATCAAACAGTTTAGAAAAAGTAAATGAGATGAAAAAACTTTTATCATTAAAATTCGAAATGAAAGATATGGGAGAAACAAATAATATTCTTGGTATTACAGTTGAGCGTAAAAATGAAACAGGAAATATTATAATTCATCAAAAGTCATACATAGAGAAAATTCTGGAAAAATTCGGTATGCAAGATGCAAATTCTGTAACAACACCGCTAGATACAAGCTTAAATCACGTATTGCAATCAAAATCTACAAACAAGGAATTGATTGAAAAGCCCTATCGTGAATTAATTGGGACATTATCGTATCTATCAAATACAATACGACCAGATATAGCTTATGCAGTTAATTTGCTCAGTCGATTTACAAGTAATCCGTCATTAATTCATTGGAATGCTGCCAAACGTGTTTTGCGCTATCTTAAAGGTACTCCTGATTATTCAATAAAATATAGTAAAACCGGAGAAGATCTGAAATGTTATGTAGACTCAGATTGGGCAGGCGACGTTTGTGATCGAAAATCGTGTTATGGGTATGTTGTCATATTTGGTGGCGCTCCAA